GGTGAGGGCGGGGGTGAGGGTGGTCTGATAATCGTGTTGCTGTAGTGCAGTAATACTCTGTCACTTTGCCCACTCAGACACTCTGTTAAACCAACTGCAGCTGTGACACGAAGAGCAAAAACCTCAAAAACCCGAGAACTGAGCTGTAGACTAGAGGTTCTCAACAGGGGGGGCCCTGCCCCATCGTGTGTCCGTAGAGATACCACATGGGGCCGTGAGAATGTTTCCATGTTTAAAAGAAATATTGTGCACGTGTTCATGATTAAAAAATATTTAAAATATCTGTGTTATTTAATACATCATTAATGTTGAAAGGTTCGACTCCAGTGGTGAGTGGGCGTGGTTTAGTTGGTTTAAATTCTAGCCAATCGAAGCTTTGCTTTTTCAGACGACCCTCTTTGTATGTGCGCAGGTCGCCTGGTTTAACCCAGTTCAACCACTGGCATCAGATAAGGCTGACTCAGCTGGACTGTGTACACGGCAGCACACATTACAGACACCTCAGTGAGTTTGGTTCTAATGTAGCTTGACGTGTGTGTGTGTGTTTGCTTTTGTCTCAGGTTTGCCAAAGAAAGCAGCTCTGACCAAAGATCACAGGCTGTGATCCAGGAGCGACGCCGTGAACCTCGGTCCTTTTTCCAACTTCAGTTTAAACCATGAGCTGCGACTGACGGTGACTCGGCCTCCCTCCCTCCCCCCCGCCTCACCTCCTCGCCCCGATACTCCCCAAGATTAAATTTGCGGTAAGTTGAAGTTCTTAATATTCACCCCATGTTTTGCTGTTTGTTCTAATGTTTGTCGGTCGGTGACACATGGTTCACATGTGTGTGGTTTTATGCTTAGATTTAATGAAAAAGTCCAATCGGTAAATAAGAACAAATGCTTCGTAAATCAGTGAGGGATGGAGTTCAGGGAGTGGGGGGGAGGGAGGGGGGAGGAAGAGGGGGTGTAATTTGGAGACAAATGCAAACACAAACATGTGGTTTGTGCAGTTCGTGGGCCTCCATATGATCCATGTGGGACATGTGGTTCGACTTATGGACTAGTGCACAGGTTAGTGTTTGGTGTCGGAGACTCATCACCCCCCCCCCTCCCCAGAGGGAGATGGTGACGGATGAGCGGCAACTGATATTGATGTGTTGCTGCTCTTAATGTTGTTATTTATTCTTGTTGTTGTTACTGTGATGTCATCAGACGGAGGTGGAAACTGGGAACAAACAGGAGAAAAGAAAAGTCAGCCGGAAAGAAAAGCAGGGAGGAGGAGGAGGAGGAGGAGGAAGTGGGGGGAAAAAAGGGTTTTGGAGGAAACACAGTGAGTCAGCGTTAAACACAGCCGTCAACACTGGCAACGCAGTAACATCAGGGCAGCAACGGTACATGTATTGATACCAAATACTCACGCGAGTACTTCACTAGTTGTTGTTGGATATTGGTGTGTTTCCTTATGTTTTGGAAAAGGGTGGTAACCGTGGTAACAGAGTGGCGTGGAACACTGTTGTGACAGAACCCAATTACCGTAGCTAATTAGCCGTTAGCACAGCTGAGCCGTGTTTGGGAGCGGCGTCTTTGAGGTCTGGTGTTCAGGAAAAGGAAGAGCAACTTTGTTGAAGTTGAAGTTGACTTTGAAGTTGACGTTCCAGCTGGTAAAACCTGGAACAACGTTGTCGGGGTGGAGGGTGTGTTGGAGTAAGTGTGAGATTCTTCTGGCAGCGTTTAAGGTTTTCTTCATGGTTTTCTCCAAGTATTCTTCTTCTCTGTGAGTGTTTTTCCAGTCTCTCCTCTTTAGCGTCGTTCCACCCACAGTAAATATGAAGTTTGAAACGATCTGTTTCCTCTGGGGACGAAGGAAACAGAACCAGGCGCTGAGATGAAGTCACTGTAGTCGACGAGAGACAAATCTGAAAATGATTTATGAAGACGTCGTGTTCCCACCTCGACGGCCGCTGCACCACCGCTCCTCAAACACACAATAGGTTTCCTCACAGGAGGCGGACGCCGCGATGACACACATCCTAACGGTCGAGGCCACGCTGTCCAAACGCTGCCAAAGAAGTCCAACAACTTGACGTGATCTGGGAGCCGCATCAGAGAGCAGGACGTCTCGACCTCTGACCCCTCTTTATAGCCAGTTGTTCTGATCCAGAGGGAGCAGCTCATGAGCCAAACACATTAGGAGGATCCTGGAGGAGCTGCTGTCGACGGAGGACAGAGGAGCCTTTGTTAGCACGCTGACCACAGACGTCAGCGTGTCAGTGACTGTTCACTCCTCCTGCCGTTCATTTTTTATTTCAACTGATGTGAATTGCCTCACATTTGTATTGATTTTTACCGAGTCACGATGTATTGTTTCACCCCTAGTGGCGGTCAGTAGGACCAACAGTTTGATGGAATACATTTCTAAACTCTGTGTTTTTGGTTCACAGGTGGGAAGGCACAGACGTGGAGAACATCATGGATGTGAAGAAGAAGGAGATGGATCTGCTCAGCAACAGCATCGCTGCTTACGCACACATCAAAGGTAAATGACCTGAACAACCTTCTGTCATTGGTCGATTTACAGCTGCTGTTAAAGAAGTAATACACAGACAGTACTTGATTTGGAGAACAGTTTTTTTATTATTCCTGTTGTCAGTTATAGTAATGCATTTACAGATAGTAAGTAATATTAATATAAAAAGTAATATTTTAGAAGTACTAAATAGACTCAGTAGGTGGCAGTACGAGTTAATTTACAGGATTGAGAG